CCCACAAAGCGCCTACACCGGCCGCATTTGCGGTCGGGGTAGACGACGGATGGGGCCCACCTACGAAGGCTGTCCAGGCCTACACGAGATGATGCAGTATAAAGAGGGCTAATCCCCCTCGATCCCAAATCATTGAGGCCAATTTCTAGCCATGGAATAATGGCGCGATTATGATTTTTATTTTGTGCCATTGTTCTTTAATAAGTGAAATTTATATTAGGCTCCGACTTTTGGCTCAATATTAAAAAGAAGTACCTACTTGAAAATTATGTAAATACGTATTTCTCGCGAAGGTGTTCCAATTGTAAGTTTAGCATAAAGAGTAGAACGATAGAAGAACACTTTAGGAGTAGTTCCCTGGCAATTGGAAAGCAGCAAATAGCTATAGTAGATCAAATGAATAGAAATAGAATAGAATTTTTATCAAAACGAAAGCACGTAATCGTAATATACACAATACACATGATATTTTTTGCCAATTTTATATTTATTGATACCTAACTTCTAAGAATTAGTTAAATGTTTTAAACCATAGATCTAATAATTATACTATTATGTTTTAAACGGTGTTGCTTGAACAAAGTTGTAGTACATAAGTAATACATATATCTAGTAAGTTTATTGAAATTAATTTTTTATACAAACATTATTTACAGAAGCAATTTATATTTAACATTTGAACCTGGAATAAATTATAACTATAATAGGCAATGTTGCAAAATAGAGAACCTTTGATTGAAATTTGCGAGGTACTGGCCGAAAGAGAAGAGTTAAAAGTTACATGTAAATTAGCCGCTAAAGATGCGTTAATAGCAGGATTTGGAGCATTTGCTGGTGCTCTTATTGCGGGTCCAATTGGAGTTGCAGTAGGTAAGAAATAAAAGTTAGTTTTTTTTGTAAATGATTCATGTACTTTGATATTTGGAAATGTCAAGTGTAATAATTAAATGTAAACAATTTGCCCAAAGCTCCCTCAGAACAAAACAAAGCAATAAACTGAATATTCCGTAGCACCATAATGTTAAAAATAGTTATGGTCCATAAACAAAATTTTTTTGTGTAATTTTTTTACTGTAACTTCATTTGTAAAATTATTTCAATGAAACTTATACGAAAGTTTGTGGGATAACTAAACACGAATATTAATAATTTTTACCAAAAATATAGATATAAAAACACCTTGATAATCTTTTGTTTTTTGTCATATATTTTTGTTGGTGTTTTTTGAAACATATTTACTATGAAAAAGTATATTTGTTACATATAGCTTAAAAGACCCCATCTATGTGGTTTATTAAACCGTGTTATGTTGCTTCGCTATGTCGTCTTTTATTTATCGAATAGTTGCAATGAGCATACATATTTGATTACCCTGTCGAAAAAATCTGATATATTTTCCTGTCTACCATTTGATTAATTGCCTACAAAAGCAATAAATAGCCAGAAATATTCACCCAGTATCGATGAATTAAAAACATTACCATTTCAACTCATTGGTCACCACCTTCAACCTTCAATAAATCATGGGTGGGCGGGGCCTTTAAAATACAGAGTTTTTAAGTAAAATGGATTTTAATTTTCTTAGCAATTATCAGTTAGACAGTCAAGTATCTGGTGGTGTTTTAGAATAATTAAACTTCAATCCTTTTTCGCTAAATTTGTTAATTAAATATGTACTAGTGACAAACATAGATTTAATATTTTTTGGCAAATGAAAAGACGAACTTAAATTAAAAAGTCAATGACTTGCTAAGATACAGCTCTCTTAATGTACCAACAAAGCTAATTGTACAAGGCTATATCACAGAAGGTTTTAATTTACTTACAAAAAAAAGTATTTGTTAGATTAGTATTCTACCCTGAATATTTGTCTATCCATAACTGTAGAAAATTAAAACACATTTTTTGAGATGATTTAAAAAAAAAAGAATGGTGAAACAAAGAATTTTCATGAGGAGAAAATTTTGTATGAAATTTACAAAATAAAAAATTAAAATAGAGGGTGCCCATCCCGAAGTTTCGAAAAGGGTTGCACATATATTTTTTTTTATTAATTATCTGATAGATATGATCAAGTGTTCATTGCTATAACTAGGAAAAATTAAAATTTTGCAAATAAAATTGTATTTATTATTAATTAATTATTGATGATGAAAAAAATATTTTGTACTGTACGAGCAACCCATTTCGTGAACACCCCCATTTTAATTTCTTATTTCACAAATTTCATTGGAAATTTCTTATCGTGAGGTAAAAAGTGGTATGGCTCCTGTTTTTATCTATAAAAATATGACGTCTTCAATTTTCATTTTCATATTTTTAGCAGCCTCTACATTTTAGGTAAGCAAGTTTGGCTATACAAAAAACTTCCTCGTGCAGAGTTTCATTGAAATATCCTAATAAATGATGCCATTATCAAAAAAAATTAACCAAGAAAAATTTCTTAATGGTCTGTCAATTTCTAAGGAAGCATGTTGGTAATGGCAAAGTCTAAGGAAGCTTTTGTTAATTTTAATATGCCTAATTATGACATAAGTCATAATAATTTTATTGAGGACAACCTCAATAAAATAATATCTAATTACTTATAGTAAACCACAGCACTAGAGTGACTTTCTATTTCTGGTAACATAGTTTTGTATGTTATAGGTGGAACCGCAGCATCTATAGCAACAGCACTGAATAGCAGAGGAAAATATAGATCTGTTGTTGATATCCTGAGATATGATTTAACTCCAACACAACAAGCAAAATTAACCGAAGCAGTTAAAAAAGCAGTAAATAATGTGAATGTAGATGATGTGGCAATGTTGATGACAATTGTTTTAACTAGTACAACCTTAAAAGAAGCCATTCTGAAAGAACTTGCTTCTTTTCTTTTGAAAGAATTAAATCTGAACATGTTAAGGTAAAATTCAATATATAAGTAACAGTTAATTTGAATTTATGTTTTTTTTAAATACTATTCGAATTTTTAGTGTTTTGTTAAATTTTATCTCTTTATTTGTACGTGTAGCATTTTTCCTTCAATAATTTTATTTTATAGTATATATCGATTTTATAAATATCAATATAAAAAACATATCAGTGGTAGCTGAAAATTGAAGGTATCATATTTTTATAAATAAGTTTGTATACTGTTCTTTAGGTGATGGTTTTTACACCCATAAAAAGAGATCTTTCATGATGAGAAAGTTTTAATCAAAATTTGCAAAACAAAATAGGAACAGCACTCCTGGGCTCTTGAAAAGGGTTGCAGTATATGTGCAAAGAAAATTTTATTTTTTTTATTTTTATTAAAGTAATTGCATTATGAAGTTTTAAAAATGAGATGTTATTATCAAATTAAAATTTAAATAACTACCTATGAAGAAAGTTTTATTTTAAAAATGAAAAAAAAACTCCTAATTATTGTACCTGTCAGTTGTTTATGAAAAAAAATATATTTTGCACAAAATATATTGAAAGTCTTATTAAGATCCCAGGGGCTACTGCCTCTATTATAATTATTTATTTCACAAGTTTTGACTTTTTCGTTATGAATTTTCTCTTTATTATGGCCATTTCAGTTTTCACTAGCTGCCAATGTAACATATATTTTTACATACAGATCGTATTTTTTTTGTTTTTTTTTCTTGGATGCAATAATATAAAATCTCATTGATCTAAATCTAATAATAAGGGCGGTATGACTAAAATATTGTACCATATTTGTAGTATATTAGGAAAGAATTGTAAGTTCCCAAGCAATTGTATTTGTCTATACCAAGGGTCGGCAACTGGCGGACCGCGGTCCAGGTCCGGACCGCAGAAGGTAAAATACTGGACCGCCAAAAATTTTTTGAAAGTATAAATTACTCAAATAAATTATTTAAAAAATGTTTTTTACGTTTAAGTGCCAATCTTATCATTTTTTCTAGTATTTTACAATTGTGTGAGTGTTTTGAGTTCTTAATTAGTAAGCAGATTAAATTTGAGTCCAAATTAAAATTAAAAAATAAGAAATATGAATTTTTTTTTGGACCTCGTTAAAAATTTTCAAAAGTATCCGGACCCCACCTAAAATTACTTGCTGACCCCTGGTCTATACATTAAAGGAGAGAACGCATTAGGCGGTCGCGGTCCCGTCGCATCGCGGTCTGTTCTGGGCTGAGCTGATCACGGTCTTTCACAAAATCTGTCGGATTTGGCAATTGCACACAATCCTGCTCGCGCTCTCCTTAAATAGTTGGGGTATTATTTTAGTAGTTAAGAAAATCAGTTCTATGGAAGAGGAAGCTCGTCTTGATCGAGACGAGCTCGGGAATGTCTAGTGCATACATTATCAAATATGGGAAGGAACTCCACCGCGCACGATCGAGACTAGCACGGTCTACGATGCGACGGGTCCGCGAATGCCTAATGCGTTCTCACCTTAATTATTATTTTTGTCCTTATCTCCCTTACCATTAAAGAACAAATAATCAAATGTTACTTCATTGTAAGAAATCCTTTTAACAAAATGCTAAGTAAAAATACTCGGATTGTTCCAAAAAGCACAATTTTGGTGTATATGCATCAAATTATATTTTTGAATACCTATAATTTGGAAAGTATTAATAACATATAAGGGTTAGAAAAAATATAAGGGGTGTGAAATGTTATATGAATTAACCTGTACTTAAATTCCAAACCAAAGGTTTGTCTAGGCAATCAATGTACAGAATTTAGGTAGTAATTTGGATTTATTTGCGTTTCTTAGAACCCATTTAAAGATGCTTTATTAATCAAAAGGTTTAAGCTTTAATTAACGTTATTATTGCCATTTATAACTGTTTGAGATGGTCAGCAAGTCACTAAATTATCTTATTATTTCTTAACTGTCGATTTTATGTACAATAATGAATGTCAGTGTACATAACATTAATATTGATTACTTCTATATACAAGAGTAGCTTTGATTCTGAAATGAATTTTAGGAATAAAGTATCAAATGAACTCATAATAATATATTTATATACAGGTGGTTTCATTCTTATTGATCAAACTTTAGGTTTAGATAGATGATTAAAAAGTAATGATATTTTTGCAGTAATAATGCAGTTATTAATAATGCAACATTTTAAATAGACACTCTATTCATAAATGACCACAGAAAAATTCAAGAGAACTCTTTTATTATAAAATGGGCAGAGATTTTGAATAATATTGTTTTTTTAACACGTTCACTGCCATCTTGGTCTATAGGGCCGAGAATAAAGTGTTATAACACTAAAAACTCGGTCAAATAGACCGAGATACAATTTGTCTCATGGGCCATCTAGGTCTATGAGACCGAGATCCATTTGAGGTTCTCGGCACCGTCGGTCTATTCTCTTATGAGAATAAACGCAGGAACAAACCGAGTTGGCCTGTTGGACAAGTTCGCCCCTTACAGTTTTCATTTCTGAAATTACGAATATTATACTACGGTGCGCTCTTGTTCTGAAGCCAATTTTTACAGATTTATATTATTTATTTTTATAATAAAAACACGTATCGGTAAGTTTATTAAATATTGTATTAAAACCACTTAAGTAACTAAAGGTACAAAGAAAAAAATATAAAATGACAAACATAACATTTTATTTTACTACTAACATTACAAACTTTTTGCAAATAAATCTTGTATTACACCCTATGACTTGCATTAAAGCATTCCCAACATAAAATAGGTTCATCAGGACAGGACTGACAATAAGTTCTAACTTTTCTTATATTTCTGGCGATTTTCCAGCCGCTCTCTGCTCTCACTTTCTCGTAGCATTTGATACATGGCCGTCTTTTGTTGTACGGCTTTGTTCCAATTTCATGACGATTTCGTATTTTTTTTAGAGTAGATTCAACTAAATTTTCTGAAGGATAGGATTCACATAACTTGGAACTTCTTTATACATAATCCAAGCATTTACCATCGCTGTGTTCAAAATTATTTCAATTGCTAATTTTCGGTACCACTACTGATTTTCATAATGGTGATTGATATGACGTCATTTGGTCTGAAAGGTCAACTGCGGATTTGCCAGCGTTGTAGTCTACGACCATTTGTGGTTTATGCTTGATATTACCGACGCGATTTTTAGTCGGTACTACGGCATCTGAATGTTTTGTGGATAATAAAAGGACATCGCGCTTGTCACGCCATTTTAAAACATCAGAAATCATTTGTGCATTTTCCGAATGATTTGTTTACCACTTTTTAATTTCTTACTAATAACTTCTGTAGGCAAAGCTTTTCGATTTTTCCGAAGTGTACCTACGAAGTGTGTTTGACTGTTTAGTAATTTGGAAGCCAAGTCAAAACTCGTATACCAATTGTCAGTAATAACAGTTCGACCACAGTTTAGAATCAGTTGACAAAGATTCATCACTACACTTGTAGGAGTTCTTTTTTGGCATTCTAAATTTTTACGTGCATATATTTGCATACTGTATGTAAAACCACCATAGCTACATAACTTAATACCATATCGGTGGCGCTTGTTTTTTATATACTGTCTCATGATAGGTCTTCCCCTAAAAGCTATTTAAGATTCATCCACGCATACAGATTCTGAAGGCTCGTATACACTTTGGATATTTTTTTGAATTTTGTCCACAACTGGTTGTACTTTATACAGGATGATTTTGAAAGTAGGGTATTAATTTCAACTGATGACAGTAGGCATTAAAATAAATCATTTTACAAAAAATTGCTCTAATAAATGTGTTTTAATGACCGAGATAACTGAGTTTAAAGTTATTGCAAATTTTGAAGCCGACTCTGTAAATCCCTAACTTACCCTAATAGGTGAAGCAACGGAACACGCTAATGTTGGCTGATACGTTATCGATAAGCCACGTGTTAAGTAGCGCGCACTCCTTGCTTTGATTGTCATGCTTCCTTCAGGTAGTATGTATTATAAACGAATTGTGTTTTCGTTATCATTTTGGTGTTTTATATTGTGTATTTAGTATCTTTTTATGTTAATTTGCTGTCAGAGTGATAAAACAATGGCCCATGTGTATAGTAATAATGAACTTGTGGATATGTTGTTAGTGAACGGAGAGTGAGAGATTTTGGATATCGTTGAGGAGAACCCCACAACGAGTACGAGAAAAATTTCACACCAGGTAAATGTATCCCAAAGCAAAGTATGGCAAACTTTACGAGAAAATCAACTTTATCCGTTCCACATACAACGTGCGCACGCATTACTACCCGAGGATCACCCTAAGAGAGTTCAATTTTGTGAATGGTTACTGCAACAAAACAATGCTAGCGAAAATTTTACGAGACATATCTTGGCAACGGATGAAGCGACTTTTACTAGAAATGGGATAAATAACTTCCATAATACACATATATGGGCTGTAGAAAATCGCCATGAAATTCGACGAACAAACTTCCAGCAAAGATTTTCCTTAAATGTGTGGGCAGGAATTGTAGCTGGAAAGCTTGTTGGACCTGCCATTTTACCGGATCGGCTAACTGGTTTAGATTATCTGCATTTCTTACAGAATAATTTACGCGAATTACTTGAAAAAATTCCGTTACATGTTTGTCAAAATATGTGGTATTTACACGATGGCGATCCGCCTCATTGTCGGCGTGAAGTACGTGATCATTTAAACAATGTTTTTAATGACAGATGGGTCGGACATAATGGACCAATTCTATGGCCTCCACGAGCTCCGGACTTAAAACATTTGCTATGAGTGTACAGGACCGGATTACATAATTTAAAAAATGCGAAAATAGATTGTTATTTCTGATTTTTTATAAATAACATTTTATTCTTCTATTTTTTGTATAACACTTGTTCTTGAAATAAGTAGGCGCGTACTAAAATTACTACCCCACTTTCAAAATCACCCTGTATAACCGATCTACAGTGCTTCCTTCATTGTCTGCAAAATGTACCACACGAAGAAGAAGGCATTGCCACATTGAACATTTTTTCTTTACTCCAATATTAAGATATGTTTGGCATTTTTACAATGCCCATATAAGAAATGAGACCAAAGAATCGTTTGATTGCAAACTTGTTCTTTGGAATCCACTTATGTAGTTTCGACTGGTGAGAAGTGTCAATATCTTTACATAGTGTCTGGGTTGCGTACAAATTTGTTTGTTCTGCTACATCTACAAAAAAATCGTCATCCACCAGTGAAAAATAAAAGTCTTCGGGGTCTGCTCCCTGCATCATAGCAACAAACTCAGGACTCACACCAAAATTTTTGGAAAATGGCATCAGATTTGGCTGATTACCTTTTGGCAGCCCCCATGTATCTGTAGCATTTGCAAAATCATTCAAATCGGACAAGAATATATGGCTTTGTGTTAGGTATTAAAGATCTGATTGATGGCCCCCAAGGTTTACTTCGACTTCAGCATGAGATGTTGACTGGAAATCACCGATTAATTTATTCTGTGTTGTAGGTTCGAAATCTGACAGCCTCCCCTTGGTTCAGCATATGACGTTGACAAAATCTCAAGTGAAGGCAAACATGGTCTTGCAGAAACAGACGTGCCTAATTCTATCTCTGATTCAGAATCAGATCTATATACAGTACTGTCAAATCGGGATCCTTTGTAGAATCGTTTACGAAAAACCGGTTTCGTTATCACAAAATACCCAAAAAATATATAAAGAATGTACCTGAATCAAAATCCGATTCTTCACCAGACAGATCAATCTTTGAAGCAATATCTTGCAACTCTTTTTCACTTAGAGGGCGTTTATAATCTCTTTGATTTCGAGACATTGTACCTAACCACAAACTAACTAAACTAGACGTACGAGTACCTTCTTTGAAACAAGATTGCACACTGAACAAGTTAGGACAGCTCAACTGGCTGAAACCGGACCGCGTAGCAGACCGAGATGGCGTAGACCAGAGCTGGGTAATTACTTGTAATTTAAAAAGTTACAATTACAAATTACTTTTAAAAAAAAAGGAACTGATTACATTTACAAAGTATATTCTTTAAAAAAGGAATTATATTAATTTAATTACAGTTACATGGAAAATGGATTAAGCAATTACTTTTCTAATAACTTATAGTGACCAAACAGAGAAAAAGGAAAAAGTTAAGTTAAAAATTTAAATTAAAAGTGTGTAATATTGCGTTTTATTATTTATTAGAATTGATACTAAAATGAAAAGATTATTCTTATTCATTTTCTAATATAGAATTTTTATATTTTTATTCCTAATCTAATAATTTAAACTAGTTCCGTTCATACTACAATTTTATATTATTGGTCAGGTAATTAATTCAACCCGATGCTCTTTTTTTTGGTTGTTAGTACATTTGCAAAATATAGAATACAGTAGTTTTGGGTAGACTGGAAAGCAATAATTATTATTAAAAAAATTACGAATCGAACAAGTACGAGTGAAAGGCTGAGTAACCGAACCAGCAGTTTTCTCAACTCATAATAAGAGCAGTAACACATAGATACATAATATATATTTTTATAAAACTTGATGCTATAGACAACATATTTTTACTTCGTATATTTTCTAAATTAATAATAATTATAATAAAATAAAATGTACTCTGTTAATTCTGAGGTTAATTCACCAAATCACTTTTTATTGTTCACGCGGCACAAGGCTTTCCTCAAATGAAATAATAGAAGTCTGCAAGTCTGTACGCAATTACGCAATACGCATGATCTTAAAAGTAATTATAATTATTAGAAAAAGTAATTGTAATTGGAAAAAGTATTTGTACTTATAGAAGTAAGTTGTAATTCGATAGTTCAAATAATATAATTACAAATTACAATTCCTATAACAATTTTGCTGCAATTACAATTCCAAATTACTTTAATAAAAAAAAGTACTTAAATACAATTACAATTACAGGATAAAAAAGGGAATTGTAATTGCTAATTACTTTTTCACCAGGAATTACCCAGCTCTGGCGTAGACAAAAACTAAAATTACCCTACGCCAACTCGGTCTACTGGACCGAGGGAAGAAAAAAATATTCTAAGATCTACAAGTTATTTTTTAAAATTTTCACTTGTTTTCGTTTAGTTTTGTAGTATAATTTAATATCAACAATGGCTTCTAAGGAAAAAAAATAAAAAATCACGGCTTCATAGTCAAACTAAGTGAATGTTCTACCGGCAGGGAATGTATATCAACCTTTTTTTTTATTAAAAAGTAAACATTTTTCGAATATAGTATATATAAACAAACTCATATTTTTTAATAATTCATCTATTAGCAAAGTTTGATTTGTAAAAATAGAATCATGTTGTATATTTTCTCCGACGATTGCACTTACCAAAGAGTGCATCTCGTCCACCACAAAACAAATAAGCTCTTCTATAAAAAATAATTTCAATCTACTGCATATCTCGTGCTCAAGAGTCGAACTACTCTTGTTGACCCATACAAGTTACAGGGTGTAACTGAGTGGGGGTCATATTTTTACAGGGGCTTCCTTTGAGTTTTAGAAACATGTATTAATAGTTTATTTTTTCAAGTTTTGTTGTGAATACTTAATTTTTTTAAATCCCTTTTTTTAATCGTAATTTTCTTACCCCGCTGCTGGACAAGTTAGTGTAACTTCAAACTCGCCGCGCTTTAGTTGCAGAGCATGCACAATTATGAATTGGGCTGCGCATTGTTGTCAGATCTTATATTTAAAGGAAAGGTTATTAAAACGCAAATTTCCACTCGCCAAGAGGCACTGCTTTTTGTCACAATATTTTTGTCGAGTAGGTGTTTGCCACGAGCCCTACCTATCAGAAAACTCAAGTAGTAATCAAAATGAAATATATAAAAATAAATAAATATGTTTTACCTGGTTTTTATAACAACATTTAAGATTTTGTGGCAAATATTCGAGTACTGGTAGCAGGACCCTCTTCCATGACATTTAAAATTTCTGGTTCAAAGATCCCATAATCTCTTAAATGTCGAATCAATCTGTTATTTTCTTATTCGGTACTTCCTAACAAAAAGTAGTCTCTAATCATATCAACTCGCTTTCTTGATTCGTATATGTGCTTTTTCATAATGTACAAATACAGTATAATCTCTATAATCTGGCACGTCACTACACCGGCACGTCCAGTAATCCGGCGTTATTTTTTCCGCGTTTGTTTACTATTCTTGAAGAATACAGTTTATACAGTTATAGTTTAGTTGAAAGATTATTTTACAGAAACATAAACACATTACAATATACATATATATACACGTACACAACTGTAATATGTATGTATCTATGTACCAATCTCTGTTAATAAACAATTAAAAGTAAGGTTTTTTAATTTAATACTGTTTATATATACATTTTCCATTCATCCGAATTTTCCAGTACTCCGGTACTCTTAGGTTTTTAATGGTGCCGGATTAGTGAGATTGTACTGTACTTGAAAATAAAATACAAAATTTCCGTGTATCATCACAACACTGAAATAAATATAACTATAAAATTATACACTTATACCACAAAGGCACTTTATGTACAACCTTCCCCAAACCGATAAAGTCAAAGACTAAATAAATATGTAACCAAATGAAACTGCAGTTTTTGACCATTTCCGTTTTACATCAGGTGTAAGGACAGTCAACTTATATCCGTTTTCAAAGGCATACAGCAACAGAACAGTGGTTTTTTAGTGTTTGGTGCTTCGTCCACATTAACATAAAAAAAATATGGTGACTAAAATAACACTTCGTTGTAATATACCAAAAAAACATGGTGACCTCAAAATAACACCTAGCCATTCTCATACCCCAAAATGTAGATTGATTTAAAAACAACCGGCAAAGTTGATATTGCACTTCATACACATATTCTGGGTGCCCCAAGAATTAAAGTGCATTTTAAAAAACTAATTATAAATCAACTATTTATTTGATTAAAAAAATTCAGATTCATGTTCAGGAGAACACACACTATTACCCCTAAAAAACTGACCCCACTTAAAGTAACACCCTGTGTAAATAGAAAGCTACACTTTAAGCATGTTAATACCATGTTGTTGTGGATCAATAACCAGGCTTCTTATTAAAATATATTTTAAATATTTGCTCATTTACATTTACTTGTGAGGATAGTACTGAGATGAATATTATTGTGATTAGGTACAAAATTATTAAAAAAAAAAAATTTAATATCTTGTTCTCACCTACTTTGTTTCTTTTTTCAGTCAAATTTAGCGATGGTTTTTAATGAAAAGACTGCTCCCTGTATAAAAATGGTCTTATCTCAATTCTTATTCATACTTTGTATTTGTGAAATGATTTTAAAATGTTACTGAAAGACTGATATGTTAGATGGAATAAAAGATTTACTTTTTGAATAAGAATCAACTTTGTATCGTGACAAAAAACAATTTTTATAAATTTTGAACTAGTTAAGTTTTGTTTTTAAATACTGAATCTACGTGACTGGCATGTTTTAAATTTGTATTAACAACTCTTTTAATAGAAGGTACATTTTTATCAGTGTTCATACTTCGTCCAGATATATGTCCCATGTTGCTTATTCTTTACATATTGTATATCATCGATTATTGTAATAAAAATAAAAATCTGAGTTCTGAAATTAATTTAAAATAATTGATATAGAATATGGTTATTGTATAATTCATTATTAATTTAATGGATAAGTACCTATATTTGTGATATTTTCCTGTTTGAATAAATCTAATAAAAGCCGAGTATAGTTTTTATTTATTGTACCAAAATGTGTTTCTGATTTACAGCCTCCTGAATTACTAACTGTCTTATAAAAATTATTATTTCTAAGATACAGTTGTTTTTAATGTTTTTTTTTTTTTTGTTATTGACAAAGCAAATTTGATTTACTTTCCATTATTATTTTCAGATTTAATTTATGTAGTTACTTATATGATCCATACTTTTAAAAAAATATAAAACTTGAAACATATGGCCTATTAATTATTTAAGCTTTTAGTATTTTATAACATTGAACTGAATAGGTACCTACATTACTTAAGAACCTTTTTTTTACTTCAGGCTAATTGATTTTTTAAATTGAAAATGTTTTTTTTTATTATTTCTATTGTTTGCATATTTTATATATTGACATAAACATTCAAAAATAATATAGTCTTTCCTACCATAACAGAATTTTATTATTGGAATTCAAAAATGGATTTCAAAATCATTTAGGCCTTGTAAAGTAAAAGAAAGTCCTGTAAGACAATTAAAATTGATTAAGTAATCCTTAATTTTGAAGGTTTTTAAAAAATTGTTTTAGAAGAACTCTTGTTCCTTATCAGAAAATGTATAGTTAGAAATTATTGGCTTCCATGTACAAGTATGAAACGGAACAATTTTCCATTTTTCTATAGAATATTCACATGAATTACAATTTGATTTCTCTTGAGATTAATCACTGGAATATACATTTACTTCTTTCAATTATGCAATACAGAAAAGCATTGGCATTTTTAATACATTTACAGAAAAAAATTGTCAAATGTTAGGAAATTGTCAACTAATTGAAATTTGTGAAGTACTAGCGGAGCATGAGGACTTAAAAGTTACTTACAGATTAGCAATAAGAGATGCTGTAATTGTTGTATTGGGTGCCTATGTAGGAGGTATTCTAGCTGGTCGCCTCGGAATTGCAATAGGTACTAATTAATAATTACACTTACACTGGTTTCACATAGGTAACTTATCCACAATCAGTTTGTTTTTTTTTTTAAATTAATTTTATATTATAAATTTTTCTATATTTGATGAATAATTAGAAGCAAATAGTTTTATTAAATTTTCATAAAAATAAAGCAAAAATCCAGTAAAAATTTTACACACTCCACAAAACCATGTTTTGCTTTCTTTCAGATTAGAAATTCGTGAATTTCTTTGACTAAATTTGCTGTATTTATACATATCCAATTTATTCACGAACAAATATTTTGCCAGATAAATTATAAATTTTATTTTAATTATAGAGGTAAGTATAATGCACAACATAAAATGATAGATTAGATTAAAACCCAAAAATAATCACAATCTGAAAATACAAATTTTGCTGACATTGTACACAAGTTTGTATATTTCAATTTTAGTAAATTTCTGAATAGTTGCATGAGATATAAACATATAGTGAGGGCCATTAAAGTATGCATTCTTTCTGAAATATTTTTCAAAGGACCCCGCACGAACCTTGGCTCCCAGTTAAGTTGGCTGAATTTTTTTATGTTACATATTTAGGCGTCCTGAATAAATGTCTTCATAGGCGCAATCCCAAAACTCCATGGGTTCAGAGATAAACCCTCCTACCAAATCACAAGCAGGCTAACCCACGTAACCCTGGCAACAGCGAGTTTAGTCGCTTATTTTTCTTGAAATAATCGCAATCAGTTAAAGACCTAAACATATTTTGATTTGACTAAAAAAAAAAAGCAAAACCTAAACACTTTTTGGTTTAGCCAGTGGTGGATTTACACATTTACCGCCCCTGCCGATGTCTACAATTCAATACCCTATTTATCTAAGTGGTGAAACATGTTGAATTGTATGTGTTTAAATATAATTTGCTGTTCGTTTTGAATTGAAAATAGGATAAAAAATTTTTCCCTATCTTCCCTTAAAATTAACCCTTTCACTGCTCCAGACGTATATATTCGTTAAAAATTTATAGGGCTCAAACTGCTCCAGACGGATTAATTCGCATGAATAGTTATTGGATCAGGCTGCTCAAACCGTATATATTCGCAACCATGCGCATCAGTGACTCGGTCATTGCAATTGGTAAGGCGAATTTTTGCGGGCGAGCTTATACCGATTGTGACAAATATTTTTATGGAAAGAGGTACTGGTAATCGGTTTCTATTTAGCACATATACTGTATTTTATTCAAAATAAAATCGTAAAATTTATCGTAAATCGTAATTTAACACAACATAATGTAAAACTATAAGTGGTCTAACTGCTCCAGACGTATATATTCACACGCGATAAACTTTCACGCACGGCGCGGTAGCTACGTTCAGACGTATTGTGCAGCGAAAGGGTTAATGACATTATGTCTGATTCACCCTGTATATATTTTTTTTCAATTCAAAACGAACAGCAAATTATATTTGCCGTTTCATTTATCGCATTAAATGATTTTATTTTTTTTTTTTATATTTTTGGGCGTGTATAATAAATTTTCCATTGCAATTAAAAATTGACCAAAATATACGACGAAAAAAAATTTATTTAGTGTTTAAAATTTTTATAGAACTGTACTATTGTACCACAGTCAGAAAATATAAAAATACTACATTTTTGCTACAATTGAGAAAAATCTTAAAGTTTACCATAACAGCACCATTTAATTTTTTTGAGCTATTAATATTTAAGCTGCTATTAAATAAACATTCGCTAGTTACATATCTCTCAAGGTAATGCAAAACATGCGGAATTAATTGATGTTAATACATTTTACATTACATTTAACCACATTAGTTTTCATAGAATACCTCTAATTCTGTTTTCATTCAACAGGTGGTACTTTAACATCTATATTAAGAGCCTTCATTAATAGACGAAAATATAAATCAGTTGTTGAAATTATAAAATATGATTTAACACCCAAGCAGAAAAGAAAACTGATCAAGGCCATAAAGAAAGCTATAAGAAATGCATCCATCGAAGACGTGACAAATTTAATGTCGATAATAACAAATGTAACAATAAAAGAATTAATTCTCAATGAAATAGCTTCCTTTCTTTCAAGAGAATTAAATCTAGCTGTAGTGTCAAAATAACTTCTCATCACACACAATATAATACTTTTGAATATAATGGAATATACAATCAAAATTACTTTACACATAAAATTGCAGGTTTAACACATTTTAAATTGTCTTTTTTTTATTAATTGCACAAATTAACTACATTTATTCATAATGAAAATATTTTCAAAGATGTAATGAATTATCTTAAAACGATTTTAATTCTTTCTTTTTTCTAATTAATTATATTTAAGTGTACATTCTTTTAATTAATAAAAATAAATTTACAGATCAATCTGTACTAATTTATTCCACATCTTTCTTAAAAAAAGTAAGAATATGGTTACACAACATATATTTTCACAGATGAAATGAAATGGGAAGTTCTGTAACAAATATATTATTTTAATAACAGTATACATGTCTTAGAGTACCTATCTTGTAAATATAATTCTTGTGAAATAAAAAGATAAAATTAAACATAGAAAAATAGACACTTGACAATTTTTTTAAAACAATAATTTAATTAAAATTAATATCTAAAATTTGTATGCTCTTTCAATGGTCTAAAATTCTCATATTGCCTGAAACTATTTTATTCTCCAGGCAAGCTCCTGATGGAATATCTATCCTGTCTCCGTGGTTGGCTATAATAATTACTGTACCCTGTAAAAAAATGTTTTAACTGATCAATCTTTTAATTTAAAGGTATTCAACTAGGTATTTCTAGAGCTTGACACCTTGGTGAATAAATATGGTGCAAATATTAGCGAGAGGATATCGTTGTGCAGTGGTACAGAACTCGTTTCATTCGTTGGTGTAACTACGTGAAGGGAAAAATACTAGTGACCTATATCAGTATTTTTAATTTTATATCTAGAGGTGGAATGTTCCTTTTCAAAATAAGTCGCAATTTTTTCTGATAAACTTCAAATTGCAAGATGTTAGTATCTTTAATATTATTTTTAAATTTAGTGATGCCACTGAGTTCTCAAGCAATGCCAAGCTCTAGTCATTATTCTTAGAAGTATATTTATTAATTTAATTATTTTTATTATTTCTTGAATAGTTAAAACTAATTTGTATAGTATATTACTATATTATCAATATTTAATTCAATCCAGTAGGTATCTATTTAGCTAAATGCATGGTCACTGATTTATTGAATAATATAATATCTCCAAAACTACATAGTGTCCAGAAATGAATGAACTATACTTCATAGTTACAAGTTACCTTCATACAATGTTGGGCCTCCTTAATATTTTTTTTCACATTTTTAACATAACCATCACTTTCTAAGATATTTCAAAGATATCTGGTACAGCAGGGTTTTTGCTACACCTGAATATAAGTTTTTTTTTTTACTGAAAAGCTAGATGCCACTAGGAATATCTTAAAACTAGTTTTCTTGCCATTTTTTTCTTTTGTTAGTAGGGATTGTTAGAAAATGCAGGCATTTTATAAAACCTGATTTTATTTTGCTAGAAGACGCAAATGCTTTATAAAACTCTCTTTGTTTACTGTAAAACAGATACATTAAGACCCCGCTTAACGCGTAGGATACGTTCCATCAAAGTAGAGCGTAATGCGAAACAGCGCTAAACGAAGCTATCTTAACATGTAAATAATGGGGTTAGGGGAAGATGGATAGAAAATTGGTTAGGTATTAAATTTAATAATTATGTTTTTTTTTTAATAAAAATAAAACCAAACATTTATTTCTTACAAAAATAAAAACAATACAGGGTGGGCCACCAATAACGCCTCGGTCGCTAGTGACCAAACGGCAAATGTTATAGAAACCTGTTTAGGTGGGTACGTGTAGGTTGATTACGGCTACATTTTAAAAATATTTTGAAATATACAGGGTGTCCAGGAAAAGCGTACCATATCAAAGTTATGTTTTTTTAAATGGAACACCCTGTATTTTACTGCATTTTTGAAAGCACCGTAAA